TTGAAGTAAATTGAGTACAAGGTGGCATGCTCATTTTAGGTGGCAGGAAGGTAACGGTCTGCCATATGAGGCAGCAGACTAAATGCATCAGCGGGTTTCTTTGCGAAATTTCAAAGTCAGGGGATTTTTTTTGCTCCGTTTGATTAATGGAATGGAATTATGGTTGTGGTATGTGATTTTGCAAATAAAATTTATGAATTTTACGTAAAACGTTTTTGAGAGAGTCGAATAATATGATTTCAGTACTCAGTATTGAATAATGCAATGCAGCAAAGTGCTTATTTTTGCTTTCAATGCCAGCACGCATATAAGGCACAACAGCAAGGAGGAAGACCAACGAAAAAACAGTTTTTGATCAACTGCAATGGCAAAAATTTATTTAGCAGTTGACCAAAAGTTGATTAAAATAATCTTCACTAGAGTAAAAAGAAAGCCCGAAAGCGGTACAGAGTTAGCGCAAAATAATCTGTTGCAGATATCCTGAAGATCTATTGCTATTTCAGGTAGCCAACTATACCATTTATCCAGTAGTTCACTCACTGGTCTTTCACCGTCTCCAGTTCTAGCAATATGGAACATCCGAAAACACCTCACAAATTTACATTCACTAATTCCCATAGAAATATCCAACCCTTGCTGCTCATGAGTATGCTGATGACATATTTGCCATCTGATGTAAAGAGAAGGAGAAATTATTCTTGGACCACATCGATATCCTGCATCCACAAGAAATTATACTGATGATGACAGTGGAGAATAATAACTCGACATTTCTTCTGGGCTCACTAATCACAAGAGAAGGAAACATGAAGGGCATGGAAATGTTTCACAGCCAACAAATACCAACGAATTCCTTTCGTTAGATTCGAACTACTCAAACTGCATGAAAAACAGCATCGCTAACACTTTCGTCAGAAGTCGTGTGAACTGAGCTTAGACAAAAAGGGTATTCACAAGGAAATAGCCTGCATTTGGCTAGTCAGAAGTAGTGGCTACTCCAGAGGGCGAATACGGGAAATATCGGTAACCAGTAAGGGAAACATGACAAGGGAACAACTAGAAGTGAACAACAGAAATTTAACACCAGCATTATATTTCCATAGGTACGAAATCTGAGAGAGAACCTGCAGAGGATCGCCAAAAGGCACAAAATACAGCTAACATTTAGATTTCAAAAAAGCAATACGGAGCCAGCTGATGCATGTTAAGATTCAAACAGCAAGCTTGAGTTTGTTCTCTGCTTTGTGAGTGCAGTCTCAATAACGTAGGAAAATCGGCACTATCATGATAGAAATTAACGAAAGACATTCTTCTAACTTGACAAGATGATCAACGTCAATATAAATGGGCCAGCAGAGAAAAAGAGAAGCTGAAGAGAAATGAAAGATTCGCGGACTGCGATGAAGCAATTAGAAAAGACTCAAACTCGATGGCTGACAGATATGCTGCGCAAGAACTACACTGCATACTATGGTACCAAATGAAAGAGACACACACAGAGTGAAATTTTCTAAAGCAAGGAGATGTCGGAAGCCTGCGTAATCAAACGAAACCGAAAAGCATGAATAAAGATGTTGGCATAGAACAAAATTACGAATCACTTTTCACTATCGAGACCTAAACCTCCATGTAACACCATGTCTTAAAATATGTTATCCCTAAGATGGTTGGGTCTGATGCGATACGTTGCTGAATTAATTTTATTTTCGGTGTCATGACGTAAAAACATGTTCAATTTTGAACGAGATTTTCGCATAAAATAGTAATGTTTAAAGTATAAGAACATATGGTAATTTTAAGTACTAAGTATACTTTCAGAAATTGCTAAATTGCGTGCGAGCGTTACTTATCAATGCTAGGATATAATGATATTCCAAAAAGCAAATATAGCGGAGAAGTTTATTATTTTGCATTCTAATCTGACTGCATCCTCAAATTGTGGTGCCTGTTCAGTTTTAGAAGCTCCTCATAAACTTGTGGGTGCAATTGTGGGAACATCAGTTGGATTCGCCTATTACATTTTTACCAGGCAAACGGACCGTTTAGAAAGAGTTGACCTAATGGAAATCGACTGATTGTGAGGATATCTCATCTGTCAGGAAGGGATGTCATTACTTACTTTTGTAACATATCGTAACAAATTATTAGAAATTGCAACAGCTATGAATTACTTTTGGTAGTGGATTCGGCAACTCCGGATATGCCCATATATGACATCTTAGAAAGATATTCCTTGAATGAAGCAGGCACTTCTGCAATCTAAGGAGACAAACTATCATAAATGACCAACATGCGTTGCTCATGCTCTTTAGTGCTACTTGCAGTGTGTTCTACTTTTGTCTCCAACCTTATCGTATCCCCTCATAAAATACAACCATTGTCGTAACGAAACGTATATGAAAAACTTTGCCATAAATGTACGTTTTATCATCCTGCATCATGGATGGCTAAATTTGTCACAGTTCCAACAATGGCTCCAAACTAGAAAACGAAAACTGCGATAAAACTGATTTTTATGTAACATATAACTGTCTCCCTGCACGCCATTAGAGGCATGGGTTTATTGAAATTTGAATATCGAAGTTGCATTATTTGAAAGGAATCACAAAAGTAAGTTATTTTTGGCAGAGACAGCGTAACATTGAAAGAAGCATATGAATGAGCAAGTAATAGTTCTTGCAAAAAACAGCAAAATCATTGGTGAAGGCAACTCAGCGAAACGAACATAATACAGGTGTTACAACCATTTTATAGTTCAGTTCCTATTTAAATTTTATCTTTAGTTTCATCATTCAATTTTTTGAGTACATCGGCGGTTTATGTCGTTTT